ATAGAATGAATCGCAAGGTGGCGGTGTACTTGTCCTAATCCCTGGAAGTTCGTGTGTGTCACGACGCTTGAAAAATAAAATGTGAGAAAAACGCCTGAGAATAGAGAATTAATGTCGACAGGTGTAAAAAGTATACAAGTTATGTTACAACTCACAGTTTGTAGTCGAAAAGATCACGTCAAGCTCACCATTGGGGGTGCCATGGATGTTCAGAGCTTGACGGCACTTTCATCCGCAAAATCTTCGTTATCGAAGATCCCAAATCCAGTCACATATACAAATGGAATTGACTATACTGGTGAGCGAAACCAACCATTGTATGGGCCTGATAACCTGAAACCGTGAAAGTGTACCAAAATGTCAAGAGAGTACTAGTGCATATGAATGCAAGAGGTAATGAGAAACTAGTACCAACGTTGTTAGCCTCTGTCGAAGCTGAACCACCAAAGTGATAGTAACAAAATCTATAATTACAGTGCTAAGCGTAATAAAATGACACGACTTTAACTGAAGTTATTGAAGTTGAAGTCGAACAAAGGTTCCATTGACATTAAAGAGAAGGCAAATGCAGTGCGGCATGCAGTGCGATGAGTGCAAAGGATGGTACCATGACGTTTGCACAAATTTAACGCCTGCAGCTTCCAAACGGTTCAGTAGGAATGGTTGCGTATAGCTCTGTCAACAGTGCTGTTCGGATGCTAAAAGCTTGCTAACCGAGGCCATCTCATTGGTTAGTGCTGCTAAAAAATGTTTTGGCAAGAGTGGTCGCGACACATCAAAAAGTACTCGCTCCGTCGACACGCAAATTGGCGTGAGACAAACTAAAGTGAGTTCGAAAACAGATGACTCGCACCGACCAAAGAAGGGAGAACAGTCCCCAAAGAGTTCTGTCCGCACAAAAAGCTCAAGGAAAAAAGTTTATTCTGTCCCACGTCTTCAAAATGGTATCCAGAAAGAAACACATAGAATCCGCAACCACAAGGCTAGATCAGTTTCTAAAGGGACACCAAACCTGACCTCCCAAGTCATCGAAAACCCTCCGGAATCCCACAGCATGTTTGACGCGACTGTGGTTGCTTCTTCAAGCAACGTTGACGAATGGGTACAGGTTGTAAGGAATAGACAGAAAAACGATATAAAAGGGAACCCTGCCCCCACAAAAGTAGTCGAAAAATCGAGGGCTGATCACAGTAACAGATCAGTCATTTTTCATAGGATCATGGAGAGCGAAAGCACCGAACCCAAAACTCGTTTTGAGCATGACATTGTCCTGATAAAACAGCTACTTAATCAACTCATGCCTCAAAATATCTCCGGAGTCACCTTGCTAAAGTTGTATAGACTAGGTAGTTTAGCGAACTTGAAGCCCAATCAATCTAGACTGCTTAAAGTAGTATTCAAATCTTCGAATGAAAGCGACTTAATTTTACAGAGTGGACATAAATTAAAGGGTTTGGGAGTTTTTATCTGAAAGGACTTGCCTTTGGCAGACCATGTAAAAAGACGGGAAGCCGAAAAAGAACTACAGATTAGGTTAGACACTGGCGAAAAGGACCTGAAAATTGTAAATTTTCGGGTTGTCAGGCTTCGTCAAAGAATGATGCCGAAGCCACTCTGGGTGAAGCACGAAGCCACTTAAATAGGCTACGGATCTGTTAAACTAATGCCCGAAGCAATCGGAACTAGGTGAACAGATTGACTCTACAGAGCCAGACATAGTCGCAGTCACAGAAACCTGGCTGACACAGTCTATAGATAGTATTGAACTCGATTTTGAGGGTTTTACTTTAGTAAGGACCGACAGAATACATAAGCGTAAAGGAGAGAGAGTAGCTCTATTCATTAGGAATGCTATCCCGTCTGTCATTATTGACAGTGAATCCCATGAAAGTGGGACGTGTGAACTGGCTAGTTGCCACTTGACATTCAAGAGGCAAGAGCTGCTGATTGGTTTGGTCTATCGCAGTCCAAGCTGTGAGGTAAATGATGTCCTGCTAAACTGGCTCAAAAATTGGTCACGAAGTGGTCGATGTCTAATCCTAGGGGACTTTAATTCACCTATGGTAGACTGGGGAAATCTGAGAACTGAATCGTCAGATAATTCCTTCGAGCAGGAACTAGTTGATGCGGTTATAACATGTGCCCTAGTGCAACACGTGAAAGAAGCGACTAGGTACGACCCGGACGCTGAATCATCCTTACTAGATCTTATATTAACTCACCATGAGGATGACGTTGCGAACCTCCTTTACATTCCACCCCTAGGTAAAAGTGATCATGCAGTTTTAACTTTTGACTTCCATATAACTGTCAATCACGAGCACGCGTCATCTCAATCCAGACCTAACGTCTGGAAAGCAAGCATACCAGATATTATGCACTCAGCATCGTTAGTAGATTGAACAATAGACCCAGATTCCTCTATTGAAACGGCTTGGGACGCATTCCTTGAACTATACCAAGGGGGCCGAGAAACTCCCCACCATGGTTCAGTAGGGAGGTCCGCATCCTTCTCCGTAAGAGAAGAAAAATGTGGGATAGATTTAGGTTACTGGGGACTGATGAGACAAAATCTCAGTACCGAAAAGCTAGGAATACCTGTGCCTCTATCCTCCATAAGCCTAGAAAGCTGTACGAAGAAAAAATTGTTAAGGAATCCATAGAATGTCTTAAACGCTTGTATTTCTATGTAAACCAAAGGACAAAAAGAAGAGGAATTATTCCTCCATTATGGGTAGACAGTACTGCCGCATCATTAGTGGAAGATGACTTTGGTAAGGCTCAAATGTTCTCAAACTACTTTAGCAATGTATATACCATAGAAGCACCCTTCCCGTCAGCGCATACAAACCCTCCCCCCATACATACACTGGATAGCTTGACCATTGAAGAAGTCGATGTATTTGGTCTGCTAAATAAGCTTGACATAGGTAAATCCACGGGGCCCGATGAATTGCATCCTAGGCTACTAAAGGAATCACCTAACTTCGTTGCGAATCCTTTAAGTATATGCTTTAAGCTATCCGTAACGCAGGGTCGTTTACCAAAAGACTGGAAGAATGCCATAGTATGTCCTGCCTTCAAAACAGGTACGAAACATAAACCTGAGAATTACCGACCCGTTAGCCCAACTAGTGTGGTTGTTAAAATCTTAGAAAAGATTATTCGGAAAGAGCTGTTTAAATACCTCGATGTAAACCGAATCCTTTCGGGGAAACAGCACGGTTTCAGAATAGGTTATTCTTGTCTCACTAACTTATTAGTCGCTCGTGAAAGCTGGTGCGCTCTTAAGGACCAAAATTACCTGTAGACGTAGCCTACATTGATTTCAGCAAAGCTTTTGACAAAGTTCCGCCCAACCGGCTGTTATATAACCTAAAAATGTCGGGATCGGAAGCAATCTATTGATGTGGATAGAAGACTTCCTTGTTGGGCGCCAACAAAGAGTACGGGTAAACTCAAAATTATCTAGCTGGGAAACTGTGCTTAGTGGAGTGCCCCAGGGTACAGTTTTGGGGCCAGTGCTATTCCTCTTGTATGTAAATGACCTTCCTCGCTTACTATCATCATCGGTCTTGTTATGTGCTGACGATGTCAAGATATGGAGAACGATACGATGTAAGGGTGATAGCTTGGAACTCCAAAATGACCTGAAGAAATTATCCGAATGGTCTCATACATGGCAGCTGCAGATAAGTACTTCCAAGTGTGTTGTGATGCATATCGGTCATCGAGGTTCAGATACATACACGATGAATAACACTGAGCTACCTGTTGTCCAGACACATAATGACTTAGGAGTCATCGTTAGCCGAGATCTGAAGACTACTGCACACTTTCGTGCAATAGCCGCCAAAACCTTTAGAACTTTATGGTCAATACGTAGGGCTTTTACTTATGTGGACATTCAAACTTTTTTGACTTTGTATACAGTGTTTGTACGTCCTTAGCTTGAGTACTGCATACAAGCGGCTAGCCACTGCTTAAAAAAAGACAGTGGGCTTTTGGAAAAGGTCCAGAGAACAGCAACTAAGCTGATTCCCGTAATAGCGAAGCTTCCGTATGATGCTCGACTGGCCAAGCTAAACCTATTCCCTTTGTCATATCGTAGAACTAGAGGCGACTTGATTACAGTTTTCAAATTGCTTAGTGATAGATTTGCACCTGATATGCCCTCATTTTTATTTTCTTCCAAAACAGAGAATTTACGAGGGCACTCCCAAAAGGTTCACAAGCCCAGAACAAATTACTTGTTAGCTGATTATCGACTTTCCCATCGAATCATCAACGAGTGGAATTAATTACCTCAGCACGTGGTTGAGGCTCCATCCGTTGATTCTTTCAAAAGAAAGTTGGATCAACTGAGAGAACACAATTGCCAGGACTAACACAGGCCATCAAGCCTCCTTTCCTTTCCAAACTGAAACTGATATTTAGCGAGGTCGTTTGAAACATTATCCTCACATAAGCTCGAGCTCGACAACTATAGATTACCAAAGTAGGTGACCTGTGTCGTTGACTATGGGCCTACTCGAGTTGGACGGGCATGGTGTGACCATTCAGCCTACGTCGAAGTCACACGCCGTTGTTTGTACGTAATGTGGACTACCCTTTCATCGTGTCCAGGTAGTGTGTCTACTTTGATGACTGTAGAAAGAACATAACGATAATACAGAGATGTGTCGGTAAGAACAGTTACAAGATACAGAATGCGACCACTGCCGCATGTAATTAACTAATGCATGTTGGTTGTCCTTGACGTTGACAAGGATTGGTAAACTGTTTGCTATTCAGTGGCCTGTCTCCTGGATGATTTAGCAAGGGCCGTGTTATTTCACTGGCTCTACATTACTAAAGAATGACCCTTTAGAACCGAGAATGAGGCTCATGGAAATAATTTAGTATCATCCAATGAAAGATACTTGGTAATGTGGTGCATATTAGTTTGTAAAATCTATAAATTACGAATAGGATTTATTTGAACCCATTTCAGTGGTCCCATTTCAATTTGTAGTTGTGCGCGGTAAAGGGGTTTTTGCAAGATTTGACCTTGTCTTTACTGTGTTAGTTGGTTTCGAGAACGTAATAAAAGGTTTGTGACCCGGACAAAATATAGTGTTAATTAAAACCTAATCGTATTTCCTTCGTAATTATACGCACTGTTCACCATAGCGTCCATTTTTGGATAGCTGTTCTCCGTGTGACGTTATAATGCTCCAGTGTGTATACTTCTGAAACTGATTCTGGGACGTTGAAGGGCACCTCACTCATCTTTATCTCACTGATATTTCTATGGTGCTGACAAAGTTGCTATTTTTTTTAAGGCTTGGCTGGTAAATGAGAGAAGTAGTGTTTACTTGTTGGACCTATTAGTTCTGTGTCTGTGCATAACTTCTTTTGATTGATTCATTCAGTAGAGCCGTCACTACACCAAGTGGGTCTGAGAGCCACATAGAGGGAGTCTCTATTAATTGCGTTTTACTTCGTTTGGAGTACTAATAAGATCTTTGCCTTCAAAATGTCTAAGGGTGCCTGGGCCATGTTTTACGATAAGTAGTCTAACTAGTTTAAGATTTTATGAGGAAAACAAGCTTTATTACCCTATTCGACTAATCTAATGGCCTCTATTTTGGACGGCACAACTAAATCATACGAGTCGTTTGGTATACAGGGTATCATTATTTAGCCTACAGTTAAGCGCGGGCCAAGACCATGGATCATGGAAAGTGGTGTTGGAACTGCATGTTCATAATTACATCTAGGGTACCAGTTGGAAAGTATTATACATTTTCACCTGTTATTTGGAAGGCTTTACAGTGATTACAGTATTCGATAGACATTAGTCTCTGTCTCCATACATTCTGCCCTGAATTTCCCCTTTTACAGCCATTTTCAGGCTTAAACTGGACAGTATTTCATTAATTATAGACTAGTGAGTATTGTCGTTATCCATTTGTTTCATGACATATGCTGATATTTGTTTCCAGTGGTGACTTGTTCAATCATCCATTCGTTGTTTTCGAACCAACTTGTTTGGTCAGGATACAAGACTATCTTTTGCCGCTAGTAGCAGGATTGGTATCGACCAACAATGTCAGGCATCTATTTACCATTATTTATGCCGTCCATACATTCAAATAAGGTTGTTTGGTTATAGATCGATCCAACATATTTAAATTATAGAAGAAACTGTTAGGCAATTATTTAATGAGTAGTGTGAATATTATGAATAAACATCGTTGTTCTCATCCGCGAGTAACTACTTTCGTATCAAAGCCCCATTATTCTTGATTCAAGCCGGGTAACCTATGAAACTTGTTGATGCATTCTTTTGAAAAAATTTTCACCCTGTTAACTTATAATGCATTATATTTCGCTTCAATTTTTTCTAGCATTAAACCTTCGGTCGACTGAATTGGGTGGAATATTTAACACTGACTACAAGTATATACCCATATAAACGACTTTATAACCTGTGATCTTAAAGATGTCTTCGTAAAATACACAATATACTTACAGATATAGTCCTACCGCCATAATACGAATAAAGCAACTCAGTGACACACGATGAGTAGACATACTCCTTTCTCCAAGACGTTTCGGTTACTGGAATTTCTTCTAAGACTGCAAGCATTCACGTATAAAACTCGCTTAGGTTGTCACAATTGATTGGCCTGCCCATCACACCGAAATAACAGGTGGTTGATAGAGACTAGTTGATGTGAACGGTAAGGATGATCATGACTAGTATGGGACTTGGTTATTTATCTGTGATATTTTATAATAGAAAACATTGTGTCGTCTGATTTCCTGAGAATATTCAATGACTTATTTTATGTGTGAGTTCTGTTCCCTTCTATCACAAATTTGTCGCCACTTTTGTTAATAGGCCATTTGTCTTTCTCTTTGCTTTCAACCTTTTATAGTCATCTGTCTTTATTTTGCTGCATACAGTGTAATTACTCCGATAATCTTCCAAGTGAAAACACAAACACAAATGTATTTTTAAAAATATGAATCAGTTGGTTCTGTTTCAAATTTTGTCATCTGAAGGAGGATCCCAGCAAATGCTACTTGTGATATATATGATCAAAAACAGATTTCAAAATCTACAAATTAATTAGGGCAGTACATCATGAAGTTCTCTGAAGGTACGTAGCATAATTATCTTCAGTGTTTTTTCCTAGCTTATGTACACAAATGATACGGGATCCCAGATTCATGAATATCTTGCTGAATTCCTTATTTTTGGCCTATTCTAGTGAGGATTCGAAGCAGTTTATGATAAACTTGTATTTATAATTAGTCTTGACATTTATCACGACTTATTTCTTATGAATATGACTTACTTGTATGTTATTGAACTTATTTAGTGGTGTTAGTGGTTACTGCACAGTAACAGTTTCTTTACATCGTAACTGAAATTTCGGCTTGTTGGAGTTCTCATCTTTAGACAGCACTCCATGAAGTTGTTACTTTCCGACTGCCCAAACTAATATAATTGGACTGGGGTTTGAACCGGCATCCTGTTATTTAGAAACAGTGCTCAAAACTACTGTGGAGTTCTAATCATTTTGTAACCCCTGAACCGTTAGTTTGCACCGAATTTCCGCTTGAACCACAAGCTAGTATTGTCAGTCTACACGAAATTGTGGTTTCGTCATGTAAAAGTTACATCTGATTACCAGGTTAACTAAATTACATAAAACGTTTCATTCGGTAATTGACAACCTATTCCATATGCAATAGATAAAGTTTGCTCTCCTGTCTACGAATGTTAACCAGATATTTAAAAAGGTCACTTGTTATGTTTCAGATTCAAGTGGAGTGCTTCATTTAAATTCGACTTCGAATAAAACAGTCAAGGAATATGATTGCCAAAAGGTTGGCATAAAGCATTCATCCGTTGGAGATGTATGTGACGTTTTTGTAAGTCAGAAAAATATTAATGAATCCAAAGAAAGTTCAAGTGATAGACAGATGACGTTTACTTCAGTTGGTTCACATTCAAATCAATCAAATTTACACATTTCAAGCGAATATCCGCAGAAAGCAAGACGGTCGCTTTTAGACTGGGACAGTTTTATAAATCTACCTAAAAAGCCTCGAAATCTGTCGTTAAAAACTGATGATTTGTCTCGAACGTTAGTTACAAAAACGACAGATTCAAGATCTCCAATTAAATCAAAACAAGAAGGTGATAGTCGTGCATCCCCTTGCTTATCTCCTATAAAAGCAAACGAATTTGTTGGGAATGTAAAGTTAGCACCTCTTCGGTGTAGTACAGAACAAGACAAGTTATTTACTAATGGTGGTTATTCGTCTTCCGAAGAACATCAAAGTAAAAGTGTCGCTGCAAGGGGAGGCGAATCATCTGATTTCAGCAGTCCTGATTTCACTTTATCAAGTATCTCAGTTAAAAACCGTGCTGAAACGAGAAAACGAAGATTGTTTCATTTTGCCACTGCCTCCAATGACTCCGAAGTATCTTCAGACCAGCTAGATATGCACTCTCAAAGGCAAGACCAAAAACAAATTCTCGTTGGCAATCATAACAGTAAAAAGAGAAAGTTGTCACCTTCAATTCGAATTCGCAGAACAAAAGACACTTTTATGTGCATAGCAAAAGAAAATTTGTACAACGGTGTGCAGTCGCCTGATTTTGCTTTTGATACCGGTGTAAGTTTTTGAAAAAATTAAAACCTAGTAAAGGGCTTTTAAACTTCACTACGATGGAATTTCTGGATGGGCATTTCTAATAGCTGGTAGGGTAGAAAATTTAATTTTAGTTGGGCGAATTACCTCACCTGGGTTAATTTTCCTGTTCTCCAGGGAACGTAAAAATCCTAATTGGAATTCTGTCAAGTTACATGCTACCTCTTCACAATAATTTTTGTTCTGTATCTTATTAATTTAACTTTTATTTTTTATTTATTTTTATTTTTAACACATAAGCATTTGTACAAGGAGGCAACAAATACATATGCGCCACACGAATCTCAATTGATTTGTGTGAGGGCTGTGATACTGCTCGGGTGCCCAAATCGAAGCAGGTAGTTTTCTTAGGGGGCCACACCCCGAGCCTTTGACCTGAAGATCTGATCCACAAGGCAGTGGAGCATCGTATGGAGATGCAGTCCCATGGTAGCCGGTGACCAAGAAATTGGTTCATACGCCATTTGTTCCTTCAGGATACTGGAGCCCATGTGCACCATTGGTTTGAGATCCTCTCATTTTCGTAAACAACACCCCCGCCACGAGAAGGCAGTGAGTAGGACTTCCCTGGCAGAGGCTATATACGCGTGGCCATGTGAGAGCATTTCGAGAGGAAGAGAGGACTCTCCCCACTCTCGACCGTACCAGGGCATACTACGCAAATAAGTGAATATTTTAAGAAGGTTGCTTAAATAATCTATGGTTTATATTATAATTTGTTTTATACCTAACGGTCGTAACCTCTATGCACTATACAAATGTCTGGTCGTGCTTCACTCAAAAATACAGGGAACACTTCAGTTAATGACGAGAAAGCACTAAGCACTTTACCCGCGAAACAATTATCATGTTAATATTTTTTTAAGAGTATGTATTGTTTCGCGTCTCAGTTGTTGGCTGATTTTAGCTAACATGTGATATTTGCCTCATTTTCTTAACTTTAACAATTTAGCTCCTTTGGTAAACAAAACAACGATTTTGGCTGTAATAAACGTCGTTTTATTATAAAATAACACTTATCTTTCTTCGTTACGAAACCTTCGTGGTACATTATCTAATCTTAACCGACAACGCTCCTGCCAGAAAACGATAATTCACTTTGAGAGAAGCCCAGAATTATCTCTGTATGCGTTTTCAATAACTAGGAGCCGAAGGATGTTATATTTTAGTAAAAGTAAAGTAGCAAACGATCTCACGTAATTAAACGGGATAGTTAGTCACACTATAAATTCCTTGTAATATGGAGATTTTTCATGTTATGTGTTTGGTATATATTTCAAAAATTTGTTACCGACCTTTAAACTTGTAGAATTCAATACATTATCAAAAGGTATCGTGTGGCTCTCTATGTGGTGCCTGTGATCATGAAAATCATATATCTAATGAATTGAATTCAAGAGAACTCGGCGGAAGTATTGCATCTCAGCAAAGTCATTCATTGGCCAAGAACTCATTCACAATTACTCATGCTGCAACACGACGGCCATCTTTAAGATTGAAGAAATCATCCAAACTTCCAAAGGTATTGACAATGTTTCAGAAACAGTAAATTATATATTTATGTATTTTGGACCATTAAGAAGAAAATTTCGTTAGTGAAGACCTATCGTTTTTAAGATTTCTGAAGCGTTTTGTTCGTGTACTTGATAAATAAATACAACTGTTCACCTGCAGTTGTGGGTTCCAATTAGATTAGTAGTTAAAGCACAAATTTCGTTTGAGTAAAATAAGTTAATCTCAGGAATAATAATAATTCTTTCTGGTTAGCGTTTTTTTAGCGAGTTAGTTTTCTACGGGATGGGGTCGCTAACCCCATGCCCAACCCTCCTCCTTTATCCGGGCTTGGGACCGGCAGTAGCCCCCGGAAAGGGGCTCCAGGCGGAGTTAAGTTAATCTCAGGAGCTAAATATAATTCATTTCTAGATAATGTCACATGTATTTTAGTATTTATTGGTTATTGATCCCAGCGGGTTATATGGCTACTACGTACCAGGTTCGAACCCCGCTCCATCTATTCCAATTCGCGCAACCGGATATTATTATTAGAGGTTGCATTTAGAATGCATCTCACATCCAGAAACTTGATGGACGGGTTTGTATTATTATTATTATTATTTTTATTATTATTATTATTATTATTATTATTATTATTATTATTATTATTATTATTATTATTATTATTATTATTATTATTATTATTATTGTACGTTTGCACTTCTCACATATAGTATCTTGAACATCAAAGCCATTTTATTGACGTTCGTTGCGTAAATTAGCCTAATTACCTAGTAAACAAACCTATTTATCTTCTATAATTTACGTAAGGCGGACAAAAAGCAACTTTTTAATCAGCCGTAACTATTATTTGGGGTGATTTATGTTTTTTAACCTTTTTGGTGGTCACTTATCTGCAGCTTTGGCGCACTTCTCCATTTCACAATAATTTTGAAACATGTTATAGGTTGTTATAGTAACCGTACTATCCCTCGTATTATTTTATGGGAAGCTGTGCATTTGTACAAGGAAACACGTAAAAATAATTTACGCATTGATTTTGAGCCAGTCATTGACGTAGAAACGGGCGCAAATGTGGGTCTCTTCAAGTCACCGCACCACATCAGCACAAGATGAAATCAAAATAAATGCCAGATTAATAGAATTAGTAACAGCACCAATGGTTATGAGGAAGATTTAAGCATGAGCGGCATCATTCGAGAAAAATGGATAAAATCGTGGAATAGAAAGGTACGAGATAATTTGAAAAAAACTTTTTTTAAGTGGAAAAAAAGTGATCATAGATGTACCATTATGACCAGTTCTGGGCTGTGTTAACCATTGTTTACGACCAATCGTTATGGAAATCTCCCTGACCTTAACTAAGTCGGCTACACCTACCAACACAGCTTGTGGACGTTTTAGTTTACCTACCCCTAGTTTCAAGCCTACTCCTACACTGTCAAACATCGCTCCTTTAGGTAAGCGGTAATTGGGGAATACGTAAGACATTTCCCAACCACCTGAGTTGATAAAGATTCATTACCTTGTCAATTGCTTTGCCATCCTTAGCTAATACTGTGCGTCTAACATCAGCTTATCTAGCTCAGTTAACTTAAGTGTTAAAACTGACTCACCATCATTAAACATCTCTGCAATCGGTTACTGAACAACTGTATTGTTTTAACAATTACCTTTTATCTTTTCAATGTCTTTTGCTTTCGTTGCCCACCACTACTCACTATCATTGCATAAACTCTCCATCAATCTACATTTAATTCGTCTTTACTCCCGATCCTGTTCGGAGCCTATTGAGATGAGTTTCTCATCGTGTGCCAATTCAGTAGACACCATCGAAATTGATTTACTTTTCGAACCTTCTAGTTTAATTTACTGATGTACAACTGTTTAGTTTTCATGTCATATCCTATCGGGGCAAACCACTTTTAAAAGTGATAAATGCTTCTCTGGTTCCTCATACATAAACTCAACTTTTGCATTATTGAGCTGAACCATTATTGTTAAAGCTTTTCTCCACCTAGAAGAAGTCATTCGATTGTATGCTTGCAGTAACTCACGATCAAAGTTTGAACATGTGATCGAAAGGAAGAGGTAGTCTTCTCTCAAGCTTCTCCAACAGTGGCTTGTGGTAATAGTCTGTTTGAGTCCATCGTTGAATCGAATTTCGGGATCACCATGTTAGGTATTGTCTCTCCGTATATGTTAAGTTGGTGCTTACTAGAAGTAAATGATTGTCTGAACATAGTTACAACAGACAGCCACATCAGTCAACCAGCTACAACGTAGGACCAGGCACATATATGCATCGGTCCAAGTTGCTACACTTCATTAGCACGACAAGATGAACACCAAATTCATAGATGTAGGTAATTCAATGGTGGTAATATATGAAAGAAAGATTGCATATAAGGATATTGTACAGGAAGAAAAATACTTGGCAGAGAGAAATATATGAAGCAATTTTAATCTCAGTTTAAGGGAAGACAGACAGTGTATACACTTACGCCATTGTGATCAATTCTGAGCCGTTACCCATAGTCTCCAACCATTGGTTACGATAGTCACGCGGACCCAACCAAGTAGTCTGCATCTACCAACATGTCTCAGACCAGAAGTTAGTGACTTCAAGTACTGATGCCACGTTTTGGTTTGGTTGCCCTTACCTTTCTTCCAACGGTAGTCAGCATTACGAGTCGTGATAATCAGTGTTCAGGCATACGTAACACGTGGCCCAACTATCTCAGTCCATGAAGATTTACAACCTCAACAAGTGATTTACCATCATTACCTAATACCCTACGTCTAATCTTATTATTACTTACCTGGTGATCCCAGCAGATATGAGCAATATTTCTGTGACATCTTTGATTAAATACTGGAGTAGGTACCTGAAAAGGAAATTGGATTAGAGGTGGTCTTATTGACCTGAGAGCGTGACCGCAGTGCCCAAGGGACAGCTGCTTGAGGTCAGTTACACACGACCTTTTAATGAGTAGTTTTTGTGTTAGCTCCGAAATTGTTGAAATCTTACCGCCAGAGACGGATAACCGTGGGATAAGGCGAGGTGTGAATTTTTATGGTCGACCTTTTCTAACCCCACCCCTCCTTGTGGGAAGGAAGCATCGCTGTTATGCAGGTTGTCTGAAGGAAATACCTTACTGCCGTCACACCTCTGTACAGTCAGCAGTACGACTTCGCCTTCGGACCTTGGATTTGTTGCTTTTAGTCTTACCGCTCTTCAACCGCCCGACCGTAGCTGCTACCTTGACGTGGTGGTCGGGCTTGCCTATCGTGATGACCCAACAGAGCTATATTGGCTGGAACACATGTTACTGCAGGTTCTACCATGCCAGGCAGGTCGATTGGAGAACGGTAAGACTAAAAGCAGCAACTCAAGGTCTGAGGGCGAAGTCGTACTGCTGACTGTACAGAGGTGTGACAGCAGTAAGGTGTTTCCCTCGGACAACCAGCATCTGCAGCGATGCTGCCTTCTCACAAGGAAGGAAGGGGTTAGAAAAGGTTGACCTTAAAAATGTCACACCTCACCTTACCCCACGGATTTCCGTATCCAGCGGTAAAGCCGTTTGAAGAACGGAGCTAACACATTAAAAACCTCCCACGAAAAGGCCGTGTGTGACCGGCCTCAAGCAGTTGTCCCTTGGGCTCTGCGGTCACGCACTCAGGTCGCTAAGACCAACACTAATCCGATTTCCTTTTCAGGTCCCTCAAGAAATACCCTTCCACGGCGTGGGCAACCGGGAAGTGATATCATCCCCCATACCCGTAACAGCACACGAGACCAAGTTGGTCACATTCAAATCCTTCCTACACCTCCTAATAACTCTCTTATCTCCACGACTAACCCTTCTTACGTCCCTTTATCACCTCGCTCCGCTAGTGCGAACGATTCGAGTACGCGGAATGTTATTCCTGGTCTCCTGAAACCACGCTCTAAACTACATTTAGGAACTTTCAACGTCCGAACACTGTGCCAAATAGTACAACAGGCTTCCTTAGCTAAGACTTTAGAATCTTGCTCCATCGATGTGTGCTGCGTCTTCGAAACGCGCACACAGGATCCTAGTAGTGTCATTCATTTGACCGCACCATGTCAAAGTAACGAACCAACTCGATTTACGCTTCGTGTATCTGGAAGCCCTGATGCTGCTTCCAGTGGCCTCGCTGGCGTAGGTATAGCATTGAGTCCTAGGGCAGAACTAGCTCTCTTAGACTGGATCCCAATAGACAGTCGTTTGTGCGCTATCCGATTAAACGGAGCAGTAAGGACTCGGAAAGATAGGGACACTCGTCGTTGCCTCTTCGTCGTCTCTACCTACTCTCCCACTAACTGCAGCTCAGATAATGTAAAAGATGAGTTTTACAGAAAGCTTTCCGACCTTCTCCGAAAAGCTAGGCGCTCTGATGTAGTAATAGTGGTTGGTGACTTTAATGCTCAACTAGGTAAACTAAGCGAAAGGGAAAGACACCTGGGTGGATCTTATGGTGTCGCGGCTCAAAGAACAGATAACTGCCTGTTTCTTGCAAACACTAACTTTAAGCATAAGGAAAAACATCTTTTGACATGGCGACCACCGATGGAGGGGCTCGATAGAAGACTGTCGCTCATTCTGGAGCACATGCTTAGACTCAGATCATGCTCTAGTGCGAGCGCGTATTTGTCTACGTCTTACTGGACGTAGGAAAGATGGTGCAAGGAAACCCCTTAGGGTCCTACTTAATGATAGTCAAGTTAAGAGTATATTTCAGGGACAACTAGAAGAACGGTTAGACAGCCATGTAAGTGATGCCCACCCCGAGGCAGCGTGGAATGACATCCGAAAAGCTGTAGAAACAGCAGTGATGTCTGCGAGTACGGTAAACCATAAGGTTAGGGAGAAACACTAGATCTCAGCAGCATCTACCGCACTGATAGATGCTCGAAAACTCATTCCATCTGGCTCTGAACATAACGAAGAGCGGAGTCAGCTTAAGCGTAAGCTGACTAGAAGCCTACGCAAAGATCGTGAACAGTGGTGGGTAGCGAAAGCAAGAGAGATAGAAAAGGCAGCGGCAATAGGTAACAGCAGGCAACTGTTCAGACTTGTTAAGGAAACCGGTATTAGGAACCCAACTGTTAGCGAAACAATCGCAGAGAAAGATGGATATATTATTTATTCTCAATCCAGGAGATTGGATCGATGGGCAGAACACTTTAGGGATCAGTTCAACTGGCTTTCAGCCACACTTCGGTTTCCCACGATTTCCAGTCAGCCTGAATGGCAAGTTGATGTAAGTCCTCCGACTCTTTACGAAGTTGAAAAAGCTATAGGAAATATGAAGCGTGGGAGAGCAGCAGGCCCTGACAGGTTTACCCCTGAGATTTTTAAGGATGGTGGTCCAGTATTAGCAGCGAGATTGACTGAAGTCTTAGGTAGAATCTGGGAAATGGACGTAATCCCATCTGACTGGTCTCAATCACTGATCGTGCCAGTTTATAAGAAAGGACAAAAGTCTTCTTGTGACAATCACAGAGGAATTAGTTTGACTAATATAGTGTCTAAAATATTAACTTCAATAATACTTCAACGCCTAACCAAAGCTCGTGAAGAGCAGACTAGAGAAAATCAGGCTGGTTTCCGACCTGGACGTGGTTGTATAGACCAGATATTCACACTACGTCAGGTCCTAGAACATAGACACACATTCAGACGCCCCACAATGGTAGTATTTCTGGACCTTAAGGCGGCATTTGACTCTGTTGATCGTGAGGTTCTATGGCAGTGTTTGTCACTGAAAGGAGTACCAAAGAAGTAAATTAACCTTATAAAGGCTCTCTACTCGAACACAACTGGTCGAGTGAGAGCTTATGGTGAACTGTCATCAGAATTGATTACCTCAAGTGTTGTTGGTCAGGGCTGTCCACTCTCTCCATTCTTGTTTAACTTTGTCGTTGACGTCCTTTTAGAGATGACACTTTCCTCATCTAAATTTCCGGGAGTTGAACTTCTACCGGGAGATCCACTTGTTGACTTAGAATATGCCGATGACATAGTTCTATTTGGTGAAGACGCTGACAAACTACAGAGTCTGTTGGCCACTCTAAGCAACAATGCAGGCATGTTCGGCATGCGATTTTCTCCCTCGGAATGCAAAATGATACTTCAGGATCGGGTTGCATTGGCACCCGAACTAGTGATAGGGAGTGAAGTAGTTGAGCGTGTCGACCGCTTCACTTATCTTGGAAGTCTCATCAGCCCTTGTGGTCTGGTGTGTGACGAAATCTCAGCACGGATACAGAAGGCTCAATTAGTTTTTGCCAACTTGTGTCATTTGTGGCGTAGGCGAGATATCCGTCTATCAACCAAAGGACAGGTTTACTGCGCAGCAGTCCGTTCCGTCCTACTTTATGGCAGTGAAACATGACCGGCAGGAGTAGAAGAAGCTCTAATCTTCTGTATTCTTCATGTCCTTTATTTTCTTTCCAAATCTATTCCACTGGATTATACTCCTATAATAACATCATCAAACCCTAATGTTCGATAACTGAATCTCTGTGTTAATGTGGTATGGTAACTCGAGATATTTTCACTTACACTTGACTTATTAATTCCAGTTTCTTTTATTAGTCTGTAGAGCTATCTTGTGTTCCCCATAGCCGCCTCGTTTTCTATGTCTTGCTTTCGTTGCTCACCACTGCTCACGGCCGTTCGTTAGATTTTTGCTTAACCTAGGTCTGATTTGCTTTCGCTCTACATCGTGTGCAAATCCTGATGTGATGAGTTTGTGAGAATCCATCAGTGCAATAGACCTTGAAGAAATCCATTGGCTTTTTGTAGCCTCTTGGTTTAAATCACTAACAGATGTCACTGCTGTTTCCACAGCTACTTGTATATCTTTCCAAGAAACATCCGGGTCAGCCTTCGTTTTCAGAACTACCTAAGTGTGACCTCAATTGTCCCCGGAATCTACTTTTGGCTTTCTCGTCACTGAGTTCAATTCTAACGGGTCTTTTTAATGTGCCTTTTTTTGCGTCCAGTGAGGCGTAAACAGACACGTGCCCATATTAGAGCATGACCGAAGTCCAAGCAGGTATTCTAGAATGAGCGACAATCTTCTATCGACACTCTCCAACGACGACTGATGGCAATATGGTCTATTTGAGTCCATCGTTGATTTGCTGCAGGGGGTCGCCATGTTAGACGATGTCTCTCCTTATGCTTAAAATTTGTGTTTGCTAAAAATAAACGATTGTCTGAGCACAGTTACAGCAGACGATCACCATTATCTGTTTGCTGAGCCGGAATACTAAAATACCCACCTAAATGTCTTTCTGTTTCGTTTAAGCTACCTACATGGGCATTAAAATCACCTGCTACGAGTACTATGTCTGAACGTTTAGCTTTCTGAAGAAGTTCAGATAGCTTTCTGTAAAATTCATCTTTCACTTCATCCGGGCTGCAGTCAGTGGGAACGTAGGCAGAAACGACGAAAGGGCAACAACGTGTGCCCCTATCCTTTCGAGATTTTACGGAGCCGTCTAGCCAAACAACACATATGCGACTGTTAACGGGTATCCATTCTTATAGTGCCTGTCCTGCCCTCATGCTTAGTGCTATGTCTACAGCCACCAGTTCACGAGAACTTGCCATCGAATCATATGGTACGATTACTTCGCTTCAGCTTCCAGCATTCCTAAGATCAAGAGGTTTCATGTAAGATTAATCTGCTGCTTCGTTTGAACCGCAATCAACAGAAGCGTGACCAGAGACGCAGACGGGTCGATAGCTGGAACGGGATTTGATCGCTAACAATGTAATATCAGGTTCTGTTAGAGATACGTAGGTGGTCATCTTTTTCCAGTTACCTACACCGTGTAAGAATACGTCTTCAGGGACGTTAGACGGAAACTGAATTAGTAGCGAACTGGACCATCTAGTAGCCCAAAGGTCATCGTTCTATATGTTGATTGAAGAAAACGCCTTACCACCCTCACACCTCAATACACTCAATAGTGCTATTTCACCCTGGTAGTTTAAATTGCTGTCTTTCGTCTTACTGCTCCCCAACAGACCTACATGGCTTGGTATGACCTAAAACAAACGAGTGTTTCAACAAGTATCGGTCGACTGGTTCGTCACAATAGACAAACACTAATGGTGGATACGGTCGGTTATGTTTTTGAATAAGTGCATTTTCTTTTGTTTTAAAACTTAGTTATATTAATAATATTTATCACTTTCATCTTATCTACCCACAATGGAGGAGCTTATCTCAAATCAAAATCAAAGTGATTTGGCTAACAAGTCCGTTTTTCAATGTTTGTACTGCACGCGCCCATTCTCAGAAAAACGTTATCGACTAAAGCACATGATTACTTGTCGGTTAGCTCCAAAAAACGTAAGTATCACCAGAAATAAATCATTGATTTTGATTATTGCTCACAATGCTTTATTTTTGTTAAGGAATAAGGTTCGTAGGTTTTGCTTTTATAGTTTTGGGTAGTATATGAGACAAAGTAATATGAACTGTTCAATCTGTTGACTAACTAAATAGATCTTATTAGCTGCTTTTATATGTGGAAATTTTTTTGTCATTGGTAACATAGATTTTGTTTGACACCGCCTTTGTATTCTTGGGTTGTTATATTTAATGTGATGTAATCACTGATTATGAGAAGGCATTTGACAGTGTAGATAGGAGGACGTTATGGAAACTTCTTCGACACTACGGAGTTCCTGAGAAGATTGTCAACATTATCCGGAACTCATACGATGGACTACAGTGCAAAGTAGTGCATGGAGGACAGCTGACTGACGCATTCCAAGTAAGGACCGGAGTAAGACAAGGCTGTCTACTCTCTCCCTTCCTGTTTTTTCTGCTGGTCGACTGGATTATGAAGACCTCGACATCTGAGGGAAACTACGGCATACGATGGACAGCTCAGAACCAATTAGACGACTTGGACTTCGCAGATGACCTAGCCCTCCTATCACATACACACGAACAAATGCAGATAAAGACAGTCAGCATAGCAGCAGTCTCTGCATCAATAGGCTTCAACATACACAATGGGGGAAAACCAAGGTCCTCAAACACAACACGGAGAACAGCAACCCAATCACTCTTGATGGCGAAACTCTGGAAGACGTGGAATCCTTCACATACCTGGGAAGCATCGTCGATAAACAAGGAGGTTCAGATGCAGATGTCAAGGCGAGGATTGGCAAAGCTAGAGCGGCATTCCTCCAACTGAAGAACATATGGAACTCAAAACAACTTTCAACCAATATCAAAGTTAGAATCTTCAATACGAACTTCAAGGCAGTTCTACTTTATTTATTTATTTATTTATTTTAACACATAGATATCGGTACAAGAAGGCACCAAATACATATGCGCCACACATATCTCATTTGATATGTGTGAGGGCTGTGATACTGCTCGGGTGCCCAAATCGAAGCAGGTAGTTTTCTTAGGGGGCCACACCCCGAGCCTTTGACCTGAAGATCTGATCCACAAGGCAGTGGAGCATCGTATGGAGATGCAGTCCCATGGTAGCCGGTGACCAAGAAATTGGTTCATACGCCATTTGTTCCTTCAGGATACTGGAGCCCATGTGCACCATTGGTTTGGGATCCGGTTATTGCGCCGGACATTCGCTTTTCGTCCTCTCATTTTCGTAAACAACACCCCCGCCACGAGAAGGCAGTGAGTAGGACTTCCCTGGCAGGGGCTGTATACGCGTGGCCATATGAGAGCATTTCGAGAGGGGGAGCGGACTCCCCCCACTCTCGGCCATACCAGGGCATTTGGGGGCAGCAGTTCTACTATACGGAGCTGAAACTTGGAGAACTACAACAACCACCATCAAGAAGGTACAGGTATTTATTAATAGCTGTCTACGCATGATACTCAACATCCATTGGCCGGATACCATCAGCAACAGCCTTTTGTGGGAGAGAACCAACCAGCTTCCAGCTGAAGAGGAAATTAGGAAAAGACGATGGAAATGGATAGGACATACATTGAGGAAATCATCAAACTGCATCACGAGACAAGCGCTAACTTGGAATCCTGAAGGGAAGCGGAAAAGAGGAAGGCCAAAGAACACATTACGTCGGGAAATAGAAGCAGATATGAAAAAGATGAATAAGAACTGGAAAGAGCTTGAAAGGATTGCCCAGGACAGGGTTGGATGGAGAATGCTGGTGAGCGGCCTATGCTCCTTCACGAGGAGTAACAGGCGTAAGTAAGTAAGATGTAATCACTAGTGATAGTCAGCTTATATAACGTTCCCTTTTTGTGTTATTACGATACATTTGTGCTTATAAGGTAACTGTCGTCGTAAATGAATTATTTTTCAAAGAACCATTTACTAAGCTTAGTGTTCAACAGTCTTTTCACTGTAGGGCGGTATATAGTATCATGTAATTAGTAGTTCTAGGGTTGTTCAAGCAACACCTTATTCATTCCATTGATGATTAGTAGAAATGTAGGGGTAACTACTGAGTGTTTTTGTTAAGTTTAACTTAACTTTTCTTTGAATGTTTTGTTTTGTTAACGAATGGTCTAATTTCGTCAGATGGTTTTCTTTTATGTTGTATCATCACTACTTTTATGGATGCTAAATAATTCAGTGGCTGAAAATATTGCTTGTCATCTTTCAAAATCAATCACTATAGTACAAATAAATTTACACTTTATCTTCCTTCAGATCTTAAGCGTTTTATCACTGTTCTCCTCGAACTCGAATTTTTCTATGTATCTTAACACCATGATTTTCTTTGTTGTTTTTATGTGCAACCATATGAACCGTTCAACTTTTATGTAATGTTTTAAATTGCTTTCCCTATCATTTTTCGTATTTGATCCATTTAGATAACTAGTTTGATATTTTAACTCGATTTCGATGTATAAAGCTATTTGTTTCCTGTTGGCAGTGGTCTAATGTTTTTAGAATACATCTGCTTTTAAGATTAAAAAATCGTTTTTTGTACGTTAAACTTTCGTTTGCGATTGTTTATCTACGTAGTATGTGTTGGGATTTGAAAATTGGTTGCAGAGATTTCACTTGTTATAGTTTATTTTTACTGTAGTATGTTCTGCACTTAATAATGTAAGGATAGAGTGCTAACTTAACAATGTTTAGGACTCTACTACAATCTAAATAGCAAATAAAGAAAAGTTGTTACAGGGCATATGGTTTCTAGGTTCATGATATATTTTTAATGCACTAAATAAATTGTAAAATCGAGAGAAAACTAAATTCTAAGGGTCAGGGTAACATAAAGGAAATAACTTTGTGTCTAAGTCAGTGTTGAAGTTGCATTGGCATTTTGTTCAATTCAAATTTATGGTCTAACTTCGATTGTCAACATACAACCTGTTCTTCCATTTCTTAAAACATGCAAATATGATCTATCTTTTTCTCGCTAATGAAACTTTAGTTAACAAAGAAAAAATTACACGAAATTAGTCGAATGTATGAGTCTTCATCGACTTCATCGGGAAGTCCTAATCTAGTTAATAATGTCGATGAAGAGATATCAATAAGTAATGGAGTTATTTGTCAAGCGAATCCGACTCTTCAAAACGGACATTCAGACAAAATAGAAAATACTATAAAAGAGGATAAAAACTCCCCTGAAAATTCATATCAAGTTAGTGTTTTATCCCTTTTTCTTTTCAGTAAAAAGTCTATTATATTTCACTGAATTTTTGGTATACCTCACATAAAATTTGGTATAACTGGGCACTAAAAATAATGTGCGCTACACATAAAATTTCTATGTGAGCTCAAACTGAAGCAGTTAGTTTTCTCGCGGTTAGGAACATTCGTCAAACCTTTAGCTTTAAGATCTAGTCCACAAGGCAGTCGGACAACTTCATCAGATGCATCCCCATGGCAGTCGTTAACCAAAAATAGGTTCATACCTCATTTGTTTCGTCAGGATTCTAAAGCTCATAGGCACCATCGTTTTGCAATCACAGTTTTTCAACTTCTTCTAGGTAAATCTTCTATATCTATCAATTAAACTTAATCGCTGGACGTTGTCTTTTCGCCTTCTAACTCTCATAAAAGATGCCCCCTAGTGCCGGTAGTGAGAAAGGTTTCTTTGTTGGGAACTATAAACACATGATCATTTGTGCATTGATACGAAAAAAGCTTTATTTGTAGTTGAGCTATATAATAAGAATATAATATGTATAATAATAATTTCAATCATGTAAAAATGATTTTTACTATTGGGATAGTTGTCTAATTATGACATAAAGTAAACAGTCTCACTGCGTTTAGGTCTGAGTAAAACTTTTCTGGTAGAGGCTATAAACACGTCGGGGTATGAGAGCGGGTGAGGGAGAGTGAACTTTTTACCCTAAGCCGTACCATGTCGTTAGGGGAGGATGCTCGTAACTAATATCCACCTAATGCATCATTCTTTGATGTGTAGTAGTTATATTGCCAGGAGTTAGTTGATCATTGGATTAACCGTCACATTAGGTGTAAAAGGTTTCAGATGATAGGTGGAGTTAAGTCATATTACTTAGGTATCGTGCTTATTAGTTGTTTTTTCTTAACCATCAAGGTTTTCAAGGAAACATTTTTGATCTGGCAGAATTTGTTCTTAACCAATATGTAATTTATTTATTTTCTCAAACCTATTTTCTGTTTTTTATTTATAGAATAATCCAAAGATGAATCATGATGTTGACTCAAAATCAAATCCAATCACTCCTTTCCTGTCTACCACGACTAATTCATTTATTAATTCTGATGATTCATTAAAAACAGATTGTAATACCTTAACTACTAATACATTTGATTCTCATTTAGTCACAAAACGTTCAGAAAATAATTTATCTTCTAATAATAATGAACCATATGAAGTATGTTAATAACGTGCATTTTATTTCCCTTATGACGATATATTATTTTTAGTATTAGTTAAAATGTTAGATTTAGAAATCAAGATTTATCCCATACTCATTCACCAACAGGCATTTCGAAATCGTTCCAACTTCTTGATAGTTTTTATCAAATAATCGTTCTTAGGGAATTATCGTTTAAGTTCCTGTTTTGATGTAGAGATATGTTTTAGGGGGAGGACTTTTGTTTTAGACTTAGGGGTAAAGTTGTTTGCCTTTTTAATACTTTACCTGGTTCATACTTGATAACCTTATTTTATAGTACCTATGTTTCTTTATTATAGTCCGATGAAAATATTTGGCAAAATTACAGACCCTCTTACGGTGGACCTTATACATGTTCATTTTGCTATCGTGTGATCCATAATCGTTCTAACTTTTCTAGGCATATAGCCACTTGTAAGGCTAGGATTTCACTAAGTACGGTAAGTCGTTTTAATATTTATGACCTACGTACATAACCTACTTTATTATTATTTAGTGTGTCTATGATTGTGGAATTTGTGTAATAACATTGTTCAATATCCGTTGAAATTTTATATGCGTTTTCCGCTCAATAGGTTCTTTTGACCAGTTATAATTGGTAATGAAAACGAAGGGTATATTATTTTTTATTTTACAGCGCAGTACCCCAAAACCGAAGCCTGCGGTACAGAGAAATAAACGCAGATTTCATTTTGTGTTTACGCCTACTCACAAAGCGAAACCACAGTTGGAGAATTTAAGAAAAGAATTATTCAAGGGTGGAATGTCGAATACTGAGCTTAATAAGGTATGTAGTTTTGACCGTTTATCTCTTTTTTGCTATTGTATTTATATATTTATGTGCTTCAATATTTGTAAATGTATGCGACAGATTTCTCCCTCTCTCACAAATACAAAAATCAGTTCATGCTGACAATCTTGTTTTTGATTGGTCGTCTTCACAGGGTTCATGTATCCTTGTATTCCTATTGACTACTTTGTTATGTTTTCCTCTGATTGAACCTTTAAAAAGCTGCATCCAACTCTAATTTCGTTGATGGGACTTCTGTGCTAGACGAATATGCTAATTCAAAAACGATAATGTTCTCTTTGAGTTTGAAACTTACGCCATTTACCTTATCCTTCAGAACTATTCAAAGTATGCCATTTGAACTGTAGTAAATTTTATCCAGAGTTGTATTACGTTTTTATTTATAAACCTAATCACCAAATTTCAATCATCACTAAGAAGTACATAATACAAGATTGATTTACTATTTAGCAGATATGCCTATTCAATTATTTACAATGTCATTTAATCTGGACGCTTAATATGTTCTTAACTCCTATCTACTTACTGCAGTTATTTTTAAATATCACTATATATGTAACTTGTGCTGGAATTTTTCAAACATCCTGGCATTAAAATGCTCAAGATTGTATCTTAGTATCCTTCACTAAAGTTGTGTTTTCCATGTGTTTCGGTTCCTTTTATTTCTTAAGATTGATAAAAAGATCTCTCCCCCTCTAATATCTCATGATCAAAATGTTGATAATTGTGTAACTGAAAATCAAGTTCAAATTCCAGTGTCGAGCCCGACTGTTATTCAGTCATGCCACGAATGTTCTCGTTGTCATAAAGTTTTGCGGTTCCGAAAATCACTTCAGCGACATAAATGTAACCACAAGGTAAGAGATTTTCACGAGAATTCATCTCCAAGTCAATTATTTTATTGTTATGATCTGTTGTTACAAGCACAAAAATAACAGTTCCGGGTTTATCATTCTATTACCTTGTAAAGTAAACGATACAGTTGTGAGACTTATGTCAGTCAGTAACAACGTAGAACTTCGTACGTACGTACATCAGTTGCCATACCACATTAACACAGAGATTCAGTTATCGAACATTAGGTTTTGATGATGTTATTAAAGGAGTATAATCCAGTGGAATAGATTTGGAAAGAAAATAAAGGACATGAAGAATACAGAAGATTAGAGCTTGAGAGAACACAGAGAGTGGATGCACCTGTGCCATTGCAAACGATTTTTAGCCATGTCATTCAAGGTCTCTAACCATCGGTTGCTATCGTCTCGCGGTTCTCAACCAGGTAGTCTACACCTACCAACATGGCTCAGTCCACTTGTCAGTGACTTCATGGATTTGTGCCATGTTTTGGTCTGGCCACCCTTAGTTTTCTTCCAACCTACTTCTACACCACAGAACATCGCTTGTCGGGGCAGTCGGTGGTCGGGCATGCGCAACACATGTCCCAGCCATCTCAACTGATTGAGTTTCACTACTTCATCAATTGATTTGCCATCCTTATCTAGTACCCGTTTCCTAACAACTGCATTACTTACTCGGTGGTCCCAGGATATATGAGCAATCATTCGAAGACATCTATGATCAAATACTAGTAACCTACGAATATCTTCTACTCTTGCCGGTCATGTTTCACTGCCATAAAGTAGGACGGAACGGACTGCTGCGCAGTAAACCTGTCCTTTGGTTGATAGACGGATATCTCGCCTACGCCACAAATGACACAAGTTGGCAAAAACTAATTGAGCCTTCTGTATCCGTGCTGAGATTTCGTCACACACCAGACCACAAGGGCTGATGAGACTTCCAAGATAAGTGAAGCGGTCGACACGCTCAACTACTTCACTCCCTATCACTAGTTCGGGTGCCAATGCAACCCGATCCTGAAGTATCATTTTGCATTCCGAGGGAGAAAATCGCATGCCGAACATGCCTGCATTGTTGCTTAGAGTGGCCAACAGACTCTGTAGTTTGTCAGCGTCTTCACCAAATAGAACTATGTCATCGGCATATTCTAAGTCAACAAGTGGATCTCCCGGTAGAAGTTCAACTCCCGGAAATTTAGATGAGGAAAGTGTCATCTCTAAAAGGACGTCAACGACAAAGTTAAACAAGAATGGAGAGAGTGGACAACCCTGACGAACAACACTTGAGGTAATCAGTTCTGATGACAGTTCGCCATAAGCTCTTACTCGACCAGTTGTGTTCGAGTAGAGAGCCTTTATAAGGTTAATTTACTTCTTTGGTACTCCTTTCAGTGACAAACACTGCCATAGAACCTCACGATCAACAGAGTCAAATGCCGCCTTAAGGTCCAGAAATACTACCATTGTGGGGCGTCTGAATGTGTGTCTATGTTCTAGGACCTGACGTAGTGTGAATATCTGGTCTATACAACCACGTCCAGGTCGGAAACCAGCCTGATTTTCTCTAGTCTGCTCTTCACGAGCTTTGGTTAGGCGTTGAAGTATTATTGAAGTTAATATTTTAGACACTATATTAGTCAAACTAATTCCTCTGTGATTGTCACAAGAAGACTTTTGTCCTTTCTTATAAACTGGCACGATCAGTGATTGAGACCAGTCAGATGGGATTACGTCCATTTCCCAGATTCTACCTAAGACTTCAGTCAATCTCGCTGCTAATACTGGACCACCATCCTTAAAAATCTCAGGGGTAAACCTGTCAGGGCCTGCTGCTCTCCCACGCTTCATATTTCCTATAGCTTTTTCAACTTCGTAAAGAGTCGGAGGACTTACATCAACTTGCCATTCAGGCTGACTGGAAATCGTGGGAAACCGAAGTGTGGCTGAAAGCCAGTTGAACTGATCCCTAAAGTGTTCTGCCCATCGATCCAATCTCCTGGATTGAGAATAAATAATATATCCATCTTTCTCTGCGATTGTTTCGCTAACAGTTGGGTTCCTAATACCGGTTTCCTTAACAAGTCTGAACAGTTGCCTGCTGTTACCTATTGCCGCTGCCTTTTCCATCTCTCTTGCTTTCGCTACCCACCACTGTTCACGATCTTTGCGTAGGCTTCTAGTCAGCTTACGCTTAAGCTGACTCCGCTCTTCGTTATGTTCAGAGCCAGATGGAATGAGTTTTCGAGCATCTATCAGTGCGGTAGATGCTGCTGAGATCTAGTGTTTCTCCCTAACCTTATGGTTTACCGTACTCGCAGACATCACTGCTGTTTCTACAGATTATTAATATCTTTTTTCACATTAAAATATGGTAATAATAGGTAAACCATAAACCTATGAATTACGAAATAGGAGTGGCGCTACAATTCTTAGATATATTTGAACAGTTTCAGTACCCATTAAAACCCAAAGACAGTTTACAAACAATTTTAGGACTGTCTAAACGAAGTCTACAAGTTTGTTGATTTCTTCGTTGGCATGTAAAAGGAATCGATTTTACGTAAAATGTAGTAGGGTGGATGTTCCTGTATATTTTACAGGAAGTGAATTGGACCTGTACTTCAACTCGGTTTCGGCTCTCTCGAAGTTCTGTTTTTATATATGCATAATCAAAATTTAAAGTAAAAAAAGTTATTTAGGTAATAGTATTCCCTGCAAAATCGTCATCCGTATTACATTTCTGAAGTGATTGTGTTCGTAAAGGTATTTATTTATCTTCTGTTTTAAAGTAAGTCTTCTAAAGGGAAGATTTTTAGAAATAACGTAACAAAATTATAAACATGAGTATTTTACATTTATTATAACAACTTAACCAAAATCAAACGTTCAAATAGGGATTTACTTATATCCATGAGAATTTCTGAGAATAAAAATTTATTAGCTATCTTTAAATTCCAATTAGTGAATGCAGTTTTTACAATTTATTCAACACATATTCAGGTTGATCACCGACATTCAAATGGCGATACAGACAATAATGAAATTGCAATGAATTCAGGTGATAAATCACTGGATCCTCATGGTCATTCTATGTTAGACAAGAATGTGACTGCTTTAGTAAATTCAGAAGACTCACAACATGATTGCACAGATGAACGTCTGTTTTCGACTGAATGTCATCAGGACAACCCCACTGAAGTAAGTACTTATTTTGGATTTGTGTGTGTTTGTTTGTTTATCAGGGAAACAGATACAGTATTGAAAGTGTGTAACATTTTTTTTGTAATGACGGCTGTTATTCCGTTCTAACTATCCCTCATTTGTGTAGGATGAACAGAAGAATCGGATGTCTCCATCGACGACTGAACTGGAGACATCAGAAGGAACAACAACAACAACAACAATGACGACGATGACGACAACAGCAACATCGAGTGAACAAGATGTTTCGAATGAAAATTTAACTGCAACTGTCTTCAAATGTAACATGTGTTCATTGAGTTATCGCCATAGAACGTCACTTTTACGTCATGCACGTCAATCGAACCACAAGGTAAGTAGGTAGGTAGGTAGGTGATGAGTGGTTAGATTGAATGAGTTTGATGTTGTTCATATTCGGTGATGATCATGAAATGGTTGTGGTAGCATTGTTGTTTGATCGTGGTGAGTGTATGGGTGAGTGTGTGAGGGAGTTTGAAGGAGAGGAAGTAGTAAGCGATGAAGAGTTTTGTGTTTTGGAATGTTCAACATGAGTATTTTGTGAATATGTTTGTGATTAAATTGTTTGTAAGGCTAAAATTTTTTTTATTGATGAATGTTTTTAGGTGGATCTGATTAGGACTCGTAAGAGAACAGATTATGTGAAGAATAATAACTCTGGTATAAGGAGATCAGGGGAGTGTTTGAATGGTGGTGGATGCATGAATAATGAGATGGTATCGAATTTGACATGGAAAGAATGTTCAGAGTCGGTGACGTTGGATTGTAAAGTTGTTGAGAATGCGAATATTGGGGAGGTAGTTGGTGAGGTGAGGTAGTTGTTATTATTGTCTGAATGTTTCATATTTAGTTGACTATATGATTTAATTTGTTGTGAATTTTGATGATCGTCCATTTTAACAATGAAGTGATGAATTGTTTTGTGAGTTTACTGATATTTCGCAATTTTATAAGTATTGAATTTCGTAAATAATTCATGTTTTTTTTCGGCATAGATAAAGGTTCACAATCCGATACATAATTCATATTTTATATTCTCTTTTCTTCAGTTTTTTTTAATGAGAATACTATTGTCGTAAATATGCTTAATGCGATATTCATCGCTTATCCTGAAAACCTTCCTGGTTTGTGATTAAATCATGTAATAAAGCGAAATGTTTTTGTTTGTCTTACAATTTGACCTCTTCATTTTTCTTTTTCCTATTTATAGTTCCAAATGTAGACTCAGAGTCTAATTTGGTATACACTCCCTTGTGGTGAGTGTTCTTGTCAGTTGAAATGACTCTGATAAATTATTTGAGACTAATAGGATGTGTCAGTGTAAAGACGTTTAGGGATTGTTTGATTTATCCACTGGACTTTGCTAATGAATGAATCTGGTTATCGGCTTTTCGACATCGAATTTGGATAGTAATCGTATTGTGAACTTGCGGCTCCTTCCCGGACACAATTGTTTTCAGAAGAGGATGGCGAAATAATCATCCAACGGTCTTGATACTATTATCAGTGTAATCCAATCTATGTTTGAGTGTGAATAGTACACACTAAACACAATACCAGAAATGTACGTCCTGAATAAAATGAGAGCAGTGGTTGTTTTTGCTGTTGTGGCAGCAGTACAACTTGTCATTCCTCGTTATATGGTGTAAAGAAACTGCTATTCAAATAGCTATTGTGGATCATCTTGAAGCACTAATAGCTAGTTTACTGAATTTAGTGCATAACTCGTAGTCACTTTCCTTTGTATATAACATCCTCATTTTTTTGCTAATCAGAGTGCTCTACACTGCATTGTCGGAGCTGTGGTTTGCACGGTCTTCGGAGACGTTAGGAATAACTGCCTTCGTTTGTTATAAGGTAGTTACTACTGGAAATTTTGTTGGAACTAATGGAGTTTATGGTACAACATATTGTCTTTTCAGTCGTGTTCCGTAATGGCTGTTCCATGTTAGTGTAGATATTTGGCTAAATGTACCAAGTTTTCGAAATTCAACCTGAACACTGCACTGAGTGGTTTCCGCTTCGATAACAAAGTGAAGTGCTTCCCATATATTAATTTGTTAAAGCATTCTGGTATGGTAAACAGTGGTAGTGTTTCTTCGATTTCTGCTCATCATTACCATTAAAGTTTATGGTCTGCTTGCGTGTGTGGCAGCCTTTCTGTGGCACTTCGGAGTTTTAGTAGGATCGTTTCCTCTACACCATAAATAAATGCATTACTTTAAACAATTGTTGTGGTCATTTGGATTGTATTTTGTCAATATACTTTAAAATAGCTTTCGATTCTGTAAAACATTGTACCAATACGTTGATCAATTCCAACAGGTGTTGGTTTAACAATACATTTATTCATGAATTTTTAAAATACAAAGTAGTTACTAAATAGACTCAAGAACGAGCGTAAAATATTTTTTTAAAATATCTTCATTTTTCCATGACTAATGTTCTTCGGTTCAGATAGATGACAAAAGCCTAGGTATCTAATTAAACAGAGTGGACACATTTTTAACCCAAGGTGTAGTTCATGTGTTTGCATATGTTGTGGAATGAACTGATCTCGGGTACGTAGTTCCTCTGGTAAACTTGCGACAATGAAGGTATCGTAGATTTAGTTGGAAGCATTCTGTGTATCTGCTAAAATTGCTTTCATCAACTGTTAAAATCCTGTTAGGACTTTTCTAATACGGTAAAGTAACCTGTTGTACTTTACCAACCCATAATGTTTGTTTGTAACCTATAGCTATCGGTGTAGAAACAAATCATTATATGTTATTAAACATTAACTACGTTGAATTTCACTAAGCAACTACTGCCATTTAGACTAGTGAACAAATTGTTTTCAATCGGCGGCGTTGTTTAAGCCGTCCTCTCAGACTGGTAATGAAGTCGGAACAAATACATATCAATTCGTTCGGCTTTATAATTCTAAAAACTGGATCAGCCAAGTTCGAGTGGGACGCAATGATACTGACATTTGGATAATGTTGTTTTTTTGGGGCTTGATATTAATTTCTTGATCGGAAGTGTAAGAAACAGGTCTTTTCGGATGAAACGTCTTGACAATATTCTGTAGTTGGCGAAAATTGGCTACTATATATGTGCAATAAACAGGAGTTTTACGTATGCCACCAATATGTTTCAAGACTTTTGTGTACAAATTCTGCATTTATATAAGGTGAAACAAGTCTGAAATATTGCCATGAAAAACCGATCAAATAAATTTATAGTTTTGGCCTGTGAACTGAACTGATTATGTTTCTGGTCTGATAACTTGTATCATTGCTAGTAAATTTATAGTTTTGGTTCAAACAATGTATCCAGCACTTACTCGCGTCAATGAACCTAGCACATTAGAGATTACATATAAGTCATGTTGTTCAAACTCAATAATACTTCAACATATCATAAAATCATCCTCTTTCACCACTAGCTTTAGGCAGCAGTGTCATTGGTTCTTCAGTAACCGTTGTTCAGCATAGTTGTATAGGTGCTACGAAGTAGAAATTGTATGGGTTTTATTATAATATGAGTTTATTGTACTTGTTGAGCTATGCTGGGTCCAGTTCACTTGAAATTAAGGGAAAAATCCAACCATTTTTTTGGTTGTTGAAATCAGTTTCAAACTGGTCTTCATAACTACAACACCGTAATGATGATTTTTGCAAATAAGTCAAATGTCAATTAACCAATACTGTCAACCATATTGTTAGTTGTAGAGCTGGCGGATGCTGTTCGCGAAGCTATCTTGTATGAAGTTACAAGAATCTCCATTAGGTTGTTTTGTAAGTGCGCATTCAAGCTGGCCTACTTTTTTATTACATACATTTCATCAGTTTTCTTTATTTTCATAACATGAGTCAATTCTTAACGGAAATCATCGTTCATTCAGTGACACCATTTATAAACACTAGTTTTCCTGATGTGAACACGTATTATACATGTCCTTGTGATTTCCATATGGAGTATTATGTACTGGAGCTTACACTTGTTAAGGAAAACTGGAAGTTGGCCAACAGTATAATGATACTGAATTAATGATAGACGTAATAGATTCAGCATAATTAATATACCACAACTTTTGACATGAATTCGAAGTGGTTTGGGGCTTTGTGAGACATGACTCACAGCAATAATGTGTACCACTCCATCTGATGTTACTCTTTTTGAGTTTATCATATACAGTAAACTGTAATTATATCTTTTGTTGGTCTATGCACTTTAATTCTTGATCTCTTTATTCTCATATGACCCCACTTTGGTTCTACAATGCACTTTCACTTCACTTTGTGTGATGGATTTATTGTTTCTTACCTACAAAAACGATTCCGTCATTGTGGTGTGTGCTACTTATATTGACAGATATAAGTAGTATGTAGCACCAATCCGAAGTGGAATACATATCATAAAAAGATTGAGAAGATCCAGTTAAGGTGAACAGAAAGGGAAACGGAAATTAATTGTAATAACAAGAGAATTGAAAGAATCAGGAGGTATGTAAAAGACAACTGATGGAAGATGTGGAAGTTATATATTTAATGTATGGTTTACATATTTTTCGAAAGTACTCTGTAATTTTGTATTAAACAATAAATTGGTCTTCCCCACCTAATTTCTCGTTCACTACATCATAAATAAATAAATAGACACCGTTAACTTTTGTTAAATGTTACTTGGTTTCGCTATGTTTATTAAATGCCTAGTAATGAACGGTTGTTCTACGTTAAACACTATCAAATACCACCTCCCTTTCCAATGATGACCATTTTCCAATATATCAAAATTATTGATTTTGAACTCCATCCTTATATTGAAATTTTGTAAAAACATAGTAATGATCAAATCAGTAGTGAGTTTGTTTTTAAAATTCAGTTTCACCTTTTTTATTCTTCCAGGCTAGCGTAATTAACTTACATCCTAAATCTACTGATTATGCTTCAACTTATCAATAAAATAGTCAAATACAGTGTTGAACATTTGTCGCCGTTATGTGGCACTGAATGTTCCGTACTTCTAAACTAATCATCTGTAGTTATCATAGTTTGATTTATTTTAGTTTTTACAATTTATTCAACACATATTCAGGTTGATCACCGACATTCAAATGGCGATACAGACAATAATGAAATTGCAATGAATTCAGGTGATAAATCACTGGATCCTCATGGTCATTCTATGTTAGACAAGAATGTGACTGCTTTAGTAAATTCAGAAGACTCACAACATGATTGCACAGATGAACGTCTGTTTTCGACTGAATGTCATCAGGACAACCCCACTGAAGTAAGTACTTATTTTGGATTTGTGTGTGTTTGTTTGTTTATCAGGGAAATAGATACAGTATTGAAAGTGTGTAACGTTTTTTTTGTAATGACGGCTGTTATTCCGTTCTAACTATCCCTCATTTGTGTAGGATGAACAGAAGAATCGGATGTCTCCATCGACGACTGAACTGGAGACATCAGAAGGAACAACAACAACAACAACAATGACGACGATGACGACAACAGCAACATCGAGTGAACAAGATGTTTCGAATGAAAATTTAACTGCAACTGTCTTCAAATGTAACATGTGTTCATTGAGTTATCGCCATAGAACGTCACTTTTACGTCATGCACGTCAATCGAACCACAAGGTAAGTAGGTAGGTAGGTAGGTGATGAGTGGTTAGATTGAATGAGTTTGATGTTGTTCATATTCGGTGATGATCATGAAATGGTTGTGGTAGCATTGTTGTTTGATCGTGGTGAGTGTATGGGTGAGTGTGTGAGGGAGTTTGAAGGAGAGGAAGTAGTAAGCGATGAAGAGTTTTGTGTTTTGGAATGTTCAACATGAGTATTTTGTGAATATGTTTGTGATTAAATTGTTTGTAAGGCTAAAATTTTTTTTATTGATGAATGTTTTTAGGTGGATCTGATTAGGACTCGTAAGAGAACAGATTATGTGAAGAATAATAACTCTGGTATAAGGAGATCAGGGGAGTGTTTGAATGGTGGTGGATGCATGAATAATGAGATGGTATCGAATTTGACATGGAAAGAATGTTCAGAGTCGGTGACGTTGGATTGTAAAGTTGTTGAGAATGCGAATATTGGGGAGGTAGTTGGTGAGGTGAGGTAGTTGTTATTATTGTCTGAATGTTTCATATTTAGTTGACTATATGATTTAATTTGTTGTGAATTTCAGTGATCTTTCATGTAAGTATTTTGTCTTTTTTTCGATATTTATTGGTTACTAAAATTCTGTTTTTAATGTTTTGCTATGTTTGTTGAAAAGGCTTCGGTTAAATTTAAGTATAAGCATACTTGTACCTTTTCTATTGTTTTTTGTATTGTCTAAAAGCTTCTTAATTCTGTACATTTATTTATGTCTTGTTGATAAGTGTTGTTCAGCAGACGAAAACACTATCGAGTTATCTGAAATTCGTCAAAGTAATGTATTCAGTGTTCATCCTAACGAAGAACTTTTGAAGTTTGATCATGCCAATAGTCACTGTGAAGGTAAACTGATACAAGCTTCAAATTTCAAAGATTGTCCGTCAAAAGATTTGTTTGATGTATTTTATCTTTTTACTTTTTGATTAACTTTTCCTTTCAATTAGTAGTTCCGTTTTTTCTATATACTGATATTATTGAGTTAATTTATTTGCTGAATCTTGTGATGTGTATCGATGAAAATAATTGTGTAACAGCTTAGCTTCTTCGTAGTTAATTGTTAAATTATCTTGCCTTCCTTATTTTTTGAACTTACGTTAGTACGATTACTAGCACAAATTATTGAAATAAGCGTTAATTTGTTCATACTCATGTTCGTATTGCTATTATATTATGAGTCATTCTTTACTTTTGTAAAGATTTTGCTAATTTTAAACAATGTTTTCCATTCGTTCCCTTCGAATATACTCACATATTCTTATGAAAATTCCGCAATCTTATTGTAGAGTTAGTATTTTTACCTTCTTGTTTGTTCTTTAAAGATACTGCAAACTACCACATTGTAGTTTATACATTGTATATATTGTATGATGAAAGATTTTAATGGGAGGTTAAAAGGTTTTTGATCTGTTCATTTGAATATTCACAAGTATATAGATACCAGTAGAGGGCAGGCTGTATTTCTTACAACCTTGAATGTTTTGCGCTGAAAATTCTTTGTTGTAGCTAAATCTTTTACATTAAATAAAGCCATTATTATAATATATCACACAGCATCGTCCAAAATCGTTGCCTATCAGTGGAATTTGAAATTCTTTTTCTAATTGTAAATTATCATAGGTAGTGTGATTTACGTATTTTACTTACCAACTACATGACATAAAGAACTATTTCCAATGAACATAACGTCGTCCCTCGATTTGTTTTGGAAGTGTTATTTAACAAGTCACCGGTCTCTTGTTACTATATCATCAGATTTATTCATTAATTCATCTTCGTCTTTTATTTTTATATAAAAAAATATACAGATGAAACAAGTATCTGAAACTCATTCATCATCCAATAATTCATCTATCCTAACTAGAAAGACTTATTCTCTTGGTTTACGAAGTCGCAGACTATCATTACAATCTAATCAAAGTATGCGGAATACAGAAACTCCATCTATTATATCCAAGTTAAATAGAAGAAAAAATAGATCAGTTTCTCCATATTCACTTCGTCATCCACGTATCGAAGAAGAAATATCTAAATGGTAAGCTTATATATTTTTTGTTGAGGTATCAGTTCTGTAAGGGCATATGAACAAGGAATAAACGTGCTGATGCATTAAAGAGATGATAATACTAGTTTGCATCATACGAGTGACATTCATAAAAAGATTGTATGTGAAAATAGAAAGCTTTGTAAAATTAATAAGTTATTAACAGATTATAATGTGAATAAAGCAAGATGATTAAAATGTTTTTGTAACGGCAAGCAGAGATCAATTGTGCAAAATTTGAAATGGTTAATACTATTTTCTGTTAACCCTTTTTGTCTACCCTATAGTAGTCGTCGATCATCGGTGTCTACACAATCTTTAGGTGATAATTTAATTGACGATGTCAGATCTATCATCTCAAATGCAACAACTGTCCCAGCATCTGATTGTAGTTTAAAAATCAACGAATCATCATCATTATTCATTTGTTCTTGGTGTAATCGTTCTGGATTTAAGTGTTGGCGTTACCTTCAAATACATCGTGCACGATGTTCATCTCGTCCAAATCGATTCAATAAACAAAAATCTATTTTATCGACAAACAATATTTCACAAGTTAAAACTTCTGTAACTTGTGAACAGTGCAATCGAGAATTTCGATCTGGACCTGGCTTAAAAGTTCATCAAACTTTAATGTCACATCATAATAATAAATCATTCATTCATAAAAATCAATTATCTAATAACTTATTATCACAATCTATCGCTTGTCCAGGCTGTTCATATGATTCACCATTATTTGAATCAACTGAAAAATTATTAAAACATTTACTAACATTAAAATCAACAAATACTACTACTAATACTAATCATCATCATACAAATCGTAGTCAATATTGGCCTACTGTATTATCAGTGCCTAATTTAGGTTATGGTTGTCATATATGTGGAATGTTACTTGCTTCAGAATCACGTTTAGATAAACATAAAAAAGCTGTTCATGAAGTATGGCTCTTTCAAGAACAACAAAATATTAGTCCAAGTAAAAAATTACCTACTTCTACTTCATAAATATATTTATATTACATGATTGTTATAGTTGACTGTCTTCATTTTCTCTTCTTTCCTTTTTCTTTTTTTAAAAACATTATTAGTATTTAATCAGAAATAGTTATCGTTTTTGTAAATAGTCAACTATCTGTAAATTTGTGTAATAACACTAATGTGTATATCAATCTCTTCTTAATTTTTTCTCTTTCAAAACTTTTTATCTATTATTACGTAATAATAACATGACGATGATGATGACTAGTAATGAGATACATTACAATGATCAGTCGAATGACAATGGATCAAGAGGATATGAATATTTGTAATTAGTATTTATTTATGCATTCATTCATGTATTTTAGTGTGCACTGTTTCTAGGTTTTTTTAATTAAAAATTTTATTTAACTTTATTTTTCAAAAATACATATTTTCTGTGTTAGATATACTACTGAATAGGATTATTTTTTAAAATAATAAATGTATATTAAAAGAAAAAAACTCAGCAAATTTTCCATCTTTACTTGTTAACTCCATAACCTTTTTTCAAGTTTAAACTCAGTTTTCACCACTTTGCCTTTGTATTCCTCTGCTCACTCACTCACTGTATTTAATTATTTGTGACTCATTCCATCTTATCTCCGTAAACTTACTATCACATCATTAACCTCTTTCAGAAATAAAAAACCTTTTTTATTATAAACAAACTAGATGTATGTTTGTCAGTTTATAAGATTATTATGCTTTTTAACTAGTACTGTTATCATTAATTATAATTCTGTTATGTACAGTTTATAGTGTGAAGATTGTTTTGTGTTTTTAGTATTTGTTATTTTGTTGTGTTTTCTCTCTCCCGGCGTATTTCTCCTGTTCTCTTAGAAAACCACGAGAAAATTTCACTGTGGCAATGAATAGTGAGAGATGGCGGTAAAAAGAGGAAAAGAGTTTCTTTTTTCTGCTTAGGATTTTTCAATGAATCGTTCTTTTGTATGAAAGAAATAAATTTATTTGTTTGCTTTTTATCATTGTTGTTGCTGTTGTGGTGGTGGTGGTTGTGGCTGTACCATTTGTAGTGGATATATTTTAATACAAACACTTCTAGGTTTGTGTTTCAATTATTCCCTCCCTCTTCTCACTCGTCTACTCTGTATTTTTTATTTACTTATTTTACAATGCGTATCATTTTCTCTTTTTGTATGTGTAAAAGAATAATAAATTTTTTTAATGACAAAAACTACTTGTATTCAAATTAAGTTATAATTAAGCTGAAGAAAAATGATGATCGTAGATCAAAATTGAGGTTATGTATTTATAAATATAGAATAATTAATTGTGTACATGTATTTTATGTTTGGTTGGTAAAATTTATTGATCACAAAACAACGCTAAATTCGTAATATTATTGAATGGAGAGGTATTGGAGTGGGGGATTTTAGCGTTACAAATAATTTAATAAATTTCTATCGTGTTAATTGTTTAATAGTCATTCGTATCAATTAAATAAGTTTTATTACGCATCGTTAAAGGTATATTATGTTTTAAAAATCAGAGTTTTGAAAAATACATGCCAAATTAAGTCAACAAATGTTTAAATATATTATTTATTATCAAAAGGTCCACACTGTACTATTTGTGTACAAGAATAAAGAATAAAATAATATACTTTCTAAAATCATGTATATTATATCACCTAAGGATTTAGTGATTCTAAGTAATGTTCTTATTGGATTAGTTTCTTTAAATTATGTTTTCAATCGATGTAGCCAGCACTGTTCTGTACTTACAGGAACATTTGCAGTAGTTATTAGTGCTTTCTTGCAAATCTCTTAGCATGAGATGGAGATGACCGTCTGTTTACGTTGATCAAAGGAAAAATGTTTAAGCCTGTTTGCGTTCTGATTCTTTTAAAAGGATCTAGAAATTTACACTAATCGCTATAAAATTTTAACATTCAAAATTGGTCTGAGTAAGAGAAGCCGTTTATTATTGTTTATCCATATATATATATATATATATATATATATATATATATATATATATATATATATATATATATATAATATGCCACTCTTCAGTAGTGTGCTTCCTCGACTGCACATACGGGAATCGAACCCATGGCTTTCGGTCTCGTGCACGGACGCTCAATTTCTAGACCACTGAGTCGGCATCAATCGGTGTCAATGTCTAACTCCAATCAATCCACGATATCGCGCGATTATCTGTTGTCTTCTATTGGTGACTACCTCACACCCAACACTGATCATTTCCATTAGTCACGACTTCTAACTGAGAATTTCCTCTCGAAGCTAGTGAGTAGTGAGCATACAATATTTGTTAGTATGGAGTCGCGGGGATTGATGAATTTCATTTATATCATGAACCGATACATACAAGTATATATATATTTTTACTGTGGTTATGTTTTCACTTTTGACTAAATTGTTATGCGACTAACAGAATGTCAGCTCACCAGTAGTGTTGTACACTTTGATTAAATCAGGATGAATTCGTCTTTTATTCGCAGTTTATTATGATCATTATTAATTAAATTATCTACTACCCTATGTCTCACTGAGTAACAGGAATGTTAGAATGCAACACGTGGCTCGTAACTGGGGAGAATTATTATCTAGTAAAAACAGTCGTTATTTTCATTCTTAACGTAACTTTACAATGTGGTTGGGTGGATTACGCTGATTTGTTTGGAAACCAAGTGATTATTTGAAACATGCATTAGTATGAATGAGAATCTGTCACAGAAAAATTCTCATTCCATTTGCTAAAAAAATGTAATCAAACTGCTGGCCTTCCGCTTTTATATAGTAAATAACATACATTTGAAGCAATTTATGTTTTGTATACTTGAGACACAGTTATTTAGCCGAATAAATCCCAAGAACAAACATTCTTAACGGACTAAGTACAAATAATATGACTTTTCAGTATGGGGTTGTGGAGGTTATTAAATTTTTGATTGAGATCATGAATCGACCAATGTTAGGCCACAATTGAGAACCTGGAAGCACTAGAAGACCGTTTCGTCCTATTATGAGACTCTTCAGCGGTGCGAATCCGCGATGATAGCAACCGATGGTTAGAGACCTTGAATGACATGGCTCAAAATCGTTTGCGATGGCGCAGGTGCATCCACTCTCTGTGTTCTCTCAAGCTCTAATCTTCTGTATTCTTCATGTCCTTTATTTTCTTTCCAAATCTATTCCACTGGACTATACTCGTTTAATAACATCATCAATCCTAATGTTCCCTATCACTACTTATACTTTCACTACCTCTACCACTACGGGATTTGAATCGATAACTGAATCTCTGTGTTAATGTGGTATGGCAACTCGAACTGATGTACGTACGTACGAAGTTCTACGTTGTCACTGACTGACTGCGCATCCGCGATCTTGCTCACGAGGTTTGAGCCCAGGGCCTTTGGTTTTGCGCGCGAACGCTTAACCTCTAGACCATTGAGCCGCCATCTAACGGTGTTAATCTTTAACCTCAACCAATCCACAAAATCGCGCGACCATCTTCCATTTTATTGAGGTAGATACCTGTCTCTATCCGACACGGATTAGCTCCACTGGTCACTGCTTCTCACTAGAACTCCGAGAATTCCCTCACGAAGCTGGTCATTAGTGAGCACGTGGTGATTTTACCCTATGGAATATTCTGGTTTTTGTTTTTAGATATTTCTCAATGAAGTATGATAATTACTTATTCATCCATCGAAATTCGAAGCAACATAGTTTGAAGTCTTAACTGGTTGTTAATTTCTGTACGTTTATTGATTTTTATGTGTATTCAAGTGATAGATAGCATTAGGGCAAAAACCTGAATATAGTATTGGTCACTTACAGTTTAAACATCCAACTTCCTAATGGTTATACATATCGAATAAAAACAAACATTCAAGCGACTAATCTTTATCAAGTTTAACGAAATGAGGTCGACACTCACTTATGCACATAATTAACAAGGAAACCAATAATAATTAAGCTAAGGTTTGACAAGTTATGGAAATTAAGTGCACTTTATAAGTGACTGGTTGAAAATGAAGGAGTAACTCACTGTTAAGAACCGATGACAAATTGATCAGCTTGAAACCTTATACAAACTAATAAATGTTAAATAGAGACTTAATCATTCGATTAATTATCATCAACTAATTGTGATCTGATATCTGTGTTTGATAATATTATTCTGATAACTTCATATTTTATGTATTTATTAAAATCTTAGACTTTATAATACTTTTATCCATTAATGTATGACTAGTCCTTCTAGATTTCATATTACGTATTATTTACAACTATTCTTTGCTTTATGAAATTCCTCTTTAGTTATTACCTATTTCGGTAAAATAAGTTGTAATACTTGTGTCGATTTCTTAATATTATTTCATTAGGTTATAAAAGATCCCATTCTTAATGGAGTTGTGAATGTACACTTCTAATGAGTTTTATACTGAGATGAAACAATTATCTAATATTGCTCAGTTTCTAATAATACCTCAATCGATATTAATTTATGATAATAATAAAAGACTCATTCACAACTTAAACTAATCTTTACATATATTTAAAGGCAACTAGAATAAGAAGAATTGTACATTTGTGTTTTAATGAAAATTTTAAAATCTGATTAACTGTACAATTTCGGAAATATATTTTCTCTATACAAAACTTAAATGGTGAAATTCATCAACATTTATTTTTTACCTATGTCTATAACTTCATGTATTTTTTATAAGCATTCCTCCGTTGTTGTTATTGTTGCTGTCGTTGTCGTTGGCGTCGTCGGTTTTTCTTTAAAATGAATATTCATATTGATTTTCATTCAAACGTTGCAATAGAATTCTTAGAGTTGATCCACTTGATCTTATCAATGAGACAGCTTGTTGATGGGTCATTGTAAATGTACTAATTCCATTAATCTCTAGAATTTCATCTCCAACCTAAATGATGATAACATTAAAGATAGTATTATATATTGAATGTTGGACTATATGTTGTCATTACCACTAATATATTTATTATCTATAGACATACAGTGGGTGTAAAGAAATATATATATATATATATATATATATATATATATATATATATATATATATATATATATATATATATATATATATATATATATATATATATATATATAAGAAATCGCATATATTGGGCTTTCAACAGATAAATAATTTTGAGTCACCCATGTAATATATTGGATATAAATAAGCTACTTCACTGATTGTTCTTCATACTTGTCAACGTGAGTACATATAACAGCGATGAATATATCTTTATATAGGATAACAACAAAGTGTATGATACCGAAATCCAAAGCATAATTCAGTTATGGTCCTTCAGTAAAACTGGAGTGATTAGTCACTTGGTGTGTTCAACTCGGGGTTGCAAATGTTTCATTCTTGTTTCTTAGAGGCTTATGTAAACCGGACAAAACGTCCATCACAATGGTGCGTGACTATTTGAGTAGTGGTGCAAATAATTTGTAAGACATTAACAATTGCTATATTGGTATACAACTCACTTTCATTTGTCCTTCTTGAAAAGCCGGTCCATTATCAGCTATCCGATATACAATTAACGGAGATGTGTTCGAGTCGAATCCACTGCGGACAGAGAAGCCAAAACCATTCGGACCACGTTGTAATGTAATTGAATATAAGCTTCTAATTGAAATGTTATTCAAACTTGGCTTTACAACACAGTTTTCATCTAGCAGCTAGTTTGAAATAAAACAAAATATTTAACTGAGATACTCTTTAACATTCATCTTTTAGGAATTCGCAAGTGAGTTTTAGGGGGCTCGATTGAAAACATATATTGAATAAAACAAAACATTTTATTTCTAAATACTTATAACTGAACCAATCAGCTCACGTAAGTTTATATTTAAAATTATACTGACAAATGCTATTCTTTCAATAATGCTACAAACGGATTTATCGAAGATCGGGTTACGTCTATATGTTACTGTGATACTTCATCCACATGCATAAATTTAGATTCATCGAGTTTGATGATTTATTCTTAGATCTATGCCAAGTAACCTTTTAAATAACTACTGTAAAACTGTGTTCATTATCATTTAATCAAACTCACAAACCTTATTACACTTTATTTTGTTCTGCTCCATTTTATCCAAAGCTAGGACATAACTGCTTGATTCGGTAGTTTTTCTTTAGTAGTTCATTGAT